AGAATGATTAATATATACAAAAATATGTCGAGTTTTATCCCGATAACTTTGATTGTCAATGTGCATTTGAGTAATTTTCGGAAATGGTCCTTATGTGGGAGTTGTGACGAATTATCAACCGATAAAGAAAAAATTTGTTATGATAATTTATATGCCAAAAAAATTCAAGTCGAATTTTACTACAATAGATTTATTAATTAATAAAATATGTGCGTTTAAGTGATTTTCGGAAGTGGACTTTATATGTATAGGAGCTATGACCTTACACAAAACATATTTGTGTTTTATCAAGATAACTTTATTTGACAATGAAATATGTGCGTTTAAGTAATTTTTGGAAGTGGGACTTATATGGGAGCTATGACCAATAATGGACATATTCAAGCCGATTTTTATCCTTATAGCTTTAGAATTTAATGAAATATATTCGTTTAAGTGATTCTCGGAAGTGGACCATATATGGGAGCTATGACCAATTATGAGCCTATCCACAAACAATTTCGTAGAGTGACTCATATAAAGACAAAACATATTTGTGTCGAATTTTATCAAGATAGCATTGTTTGACAATGAAATATGTGCTTTTAAATGATTTTCGGAAGTGGGCCTTTTATGGGAGCTATGACGAATAATGGACCGATCCGTAAAAAGTTTGGTAGAATGATTTGTATGTACACAAAACATATTTAACACGAATTTTATCACAATAGCTTTACTCACCAAAGAAATATGTGCGTTTAGGTGATTTTCGGAAGTGGACCTTATATGAGAGCTATGACCAATTGTGGACCTACTGAGATCTACGTTGATAGCATGGTTTCTGTTTATATTATATTTGCATGTACAAAATTTTGTGTTGATACCGATATATTTGAGGGAGTTTTTGACGATAAACTAATTTCCGGGCATATATACCTTTGTATGGGAGCTATGGGAAATATTGGATCAATTGTAAAGATTTTGAACATAATTGATCACTGCCCTGAAAAAATAATGTGTGACAAAATTCATCGAAATATCTTTGGTAGTTTCCGAGAAAACTTCAAAAGAATTAGGAAAAAACCGTAATTTTTTTCGAGGTAGTCTGAAATTTTTACTCATAACTTTTTACATTGTGAACCGATTTTGCTGATTTTCAATACCAAACTGCTTAGGATAATAATAAATGTTTTGGGTGAATTTGGTTGATTTCCTTTGCTTAGTTTTAACGTGAGCGTGTTTTACACAGACAGACAGACAGACGGACAGACGGTCATAGCTAAATCGACTCAGAATTTCATGAGGACCCAGAATATATATACTTTGTTGGGTCTTAGATGAGTATTTCTTGGTGTTACACACGGAACGACAAACTTATATATACCCTCTATCACCACTGATGGTGGTGGAGGGTATAAAAACTCACCACACCAAAAAAAATGTTTATTTTGATAAAACAGCTGTTACGGTTTGTTTTATTTTTCGTCGGGTTGTTTTCTTTATGTGCGTGACTTTCCGACATTTTTCACAGACGATAGTCGAATTATCGACTTTTTTGAACAAAATAGTCGACTTCGTCTTTTCGACTTTTTTCGACAAAAAGTCGATTGTTCGATTATTCGAAATTCGATTTATAGAACCCTAACTGGCACTAACGAGAACATACCCATCATTGCGTCACAAAGTATACAGAGGCGTCGCAACAAAAATTATATTTATATCTTTCGTAAATTGTTTTAAAAAATAGCTAAAATAACAACATGTTTATTAGGGATATATGTATGAAACTAATTTTGCGAAACTTTTGGCATACCACCACGTAATGGCTAATATTGTATAAGTAATAAATATAAATTTTTGGGTCATTTGGAATTAAAAACATCACGCACCAACACCAATTTGTAAAATTAACCAACTTTAACCCCCTATTTACCCATTTCATACCCTAAACCATGACATAATAAAGTGCGCCCTGCCCCAAACCATTATTTTTGTGTAAAGTAGGCTTAATGTCAAAAGTTGTTATTGTTTACATGTTAAGAATATTATTTGTTTACATTTCTTATGTCATTTTTGACATTAGTCTGATTCTAGTACAAAAACAAAATACTTGTTTTTTTTTTGTATTGTTGTAGTGATGCAGTCTCCTTTCTAAGTGTTCCCTGGGTGAAACTGAAGGGGTTGTCAAACAAAATTTGTTAATCTCTTCACACATACGAGTTCTGAGAGAATTAAACACACTTCGGAGAACTAAACGTACTCACAAAACTTCAAATTTTCTTCGCGAAATTGCGAGGATTAGCCAGCCGGATATGCTGTCCAAGACCATCCCTCTTACTGAGGGGAAAATGGTCGTGGAGAGCGCCTTATAGCCGCCCCATAGACGCTATCATAAAAGGCGGAGGGTAGTTCTTAGTATCGTGCTCACTGTAAACCCTTGTGGAATGGGTGACCAGGAATAGCCAACTTAAATTGGCATAACTACATATCATTGCACTTAAGCATCTGCATAGCATCAAGATGACTACCCATCGCAGATGTAATAAATTGTATCTTATAATACATATTTATTTCACGTGGATAAATTTTTGGGCATGTGGGTTTTTTATAAGATAAATTTAAAAAAAGCATGGTGGCAACATGTACATTTTTTTGACATAAGTATATCCTTTTTTTGTTTTTGTAGAATTAACTTCACCTTAACCCGTGTCTATAGACCAATATTTATTGGTCAAATTGTTATCACAAAAAAATAGCAGGTACATACAGCATTTATTACCCCGTGTCTATATTAGCCAAATATTTATCACGATACTTGACAAAACGTCGGCAGAAAAATTATTAGTTTTTTGTTTATGTTAATGCATAGGGGTAACAAAATGCTGATTTTATCACGAAAACTCACAGATAATTTTATTGAAATAATGCTAAATTTTATAAGAACAATTAAAATTAAATTCAAATTTTGAAAATAAACACTAATTTCACTAAAACTTGTGTTAAAAATCAATTTTAATTGCACAAAAACATATTCTAAACAAATTTTACAATAAAATGGCGTTTGTTATCAAGACAACGTTGTCTAAACAATTGTTTAAACAACACTGTCATAACGACGTTATAATGCTAATAAATGCCGTCTGTACCTGCTAATTTTTTATCATGATAACAATTTGACGTTTAGCATAATAAATATTTGTCTAATATAGACATGGGGTTAGCGTTATAGCGTCGTTATGACAATGTTGTCTAACCCCCTGTCTATATTAGACAAATATTTATCACGGCACTTGACAAAACGTCGGCAGAAAAATTGTCAGATTTTTGTTTATGTTAATACATAGGGGTAACAAAACGCTGATTTTATCACGACAACTCACAGATAATTTTATTGAAATAATGCTATATTTTATAAAAACAATTAAAATTAAATGCAAATTTTGTAAATAAACACTAATTTCACTAAAACTTATGTTAAAAATCAATTTTAATTGCACAAAAACAAAATTCTAAACAAATTTTACAATAAAATGACGTTTGTTATCAAGACAACGTTGTCTAAACAATTGTTTATACAACACTGTCATAACGGCGTTATAACGCTAATAAATGCCGTCTATACCTGCTAATTTTTTATTATGATAACAATTAGACGTTTAGCATAATAAATATTTGTCTAATATAGACACGGGGTAATCAATTGAGTAGACAACGTTGCTGCATAACAAGCGTCACTGTATTGTAAAATTTGTATAGAATTTTGTTTTTGTGCAATTAAAATAGATTTTTAACATAAGTTTTAGTCATGGTATAAAGAAAACAAGGTAACTCCGTTATCTCTCAATAAAAAATTGTTTGACGTAAATAAGCATTTTTGAAATTTATTTTTTGTAAACAAATAAATTAAAACCTTGCCACACGAAAAATATTCACATCCCCGGGAACCCGGGAATTCCCGATAAAATAAAAAAATTAATTAAAAAAGGGTTTACGCGATGTTTTATTGAATTTTTTTGACATATCATGTAACTTAAAAATATGTATATCTAAAATCAGGCAATAGTTTTGAAGCAGTATTTCGGTAACGTTGTTTTAGCGGTAATGGTAGTGAGATAAGAGGGTATCTTAAAGGTGTAATATAGGAAAAATTATTTAAAAATAATATAAAATAACGGTAGTTCAGTAACGATATTTAAGAGATAACGGTAGTAGAGCTGAGGAAAAGATAGCCAATCTTTATTTAAATAAAGTAAATAAAATACTTTATTATTTTCTTTATAAATACATACATACATGAGTATGTATTGAAATGTCCCGCGGGCAACTTTTTGAAGGAATACCCGCTAAAAGCTAAAAATCATTACATTTCCCGGGAATTTTTTCCCGACGCTTCCCGGGAACGAAACCCTATTTACTATAAAAGTGTAACTGTTATGAACTGTAAATAAGAACGTATATAAATACATTTTAATAAATATTTTATTACGGCTTATTATTTTTATATAAACTAACGTCATTACAAGGAAAGAATAAAGTAAAGTAAATAGTTTAATTTGATTTATGTATGTTTATTTTTCTTTTATTTATAAAATTTTCTTAATTTATGTTTGAAAAAATATTTTTTAAAGACATTTCAAAAACAAATATAAAAGTATTTAAAGTAAATATGGTAGCACGATTTTAGGTAATAAAATCATAAATCGCCCAAACGTCAGAAATTTTATTTTTTTTACTATGGTTTTAGTGAAATTAGTGTTTATTTACAAAACTTGTGTATAACTTTAATTGTTTTTATAAAATATAGCATTATTTCAGTAAAATTATCAGTGAGTTGTCGTAATAAAATTAGCATTTTGTCAACCCTATACATTAACATATCAAAAAAAACTGACAATTTTTTTGCCGACGTTTGCCGACGGGCAAAAAAATGTTGATAATGCGGTTTATTTACATATAATTTTTTGTTCACATGCGTCATTTGCTGATATGTTTATTAAACCAGCTGATTGTCAAAAAAAATTTTTTTTTCATAGTTTTTGTAAAACAGTTTTCACCTTTTATAAATTCGTCTTGTACCATAAAGTATATCTTGTACAAATGTTTATAATATCAAAATATGCAATAATTTAAAAACATGTCCACGAAAAGAAAATATAACTTGGATGAAGACGATGACAACAACTTGCAAGATATCCATGTGAGCAACAAGAAGCATACATTAGATTCTGATGAAGAGGATAGCGACGAATATGAGAAGTTGAGACTCGATTTGTTTAATTTTTAAACCAAGTAAAACATTTCTTTTTTTACAGAGACTACCTAGGTGATAGCGACATTGAAGGTGAAGAAGATGGTGTATCAAAGGTTCAGGATGAAGTCAAAATTACCCCATTTAATATGCGAGAAGAATTAGAAGAAGGGCATTTCGACAAAGAGGGACATTATCATTGGAATAAATCAAATGACATTAAAGATAATTGGCTTGATAACATTGACTGGGTGAAAGTAAGTACATATGTACATTATGGTGGCACCGTTTGTATGGAGGAAACATAAGGTGTCAATGTTCCAAAATTTTTGTCCTGGCGTCCATATTAGGTTAGCTGGATCAAAGGATAAAATGTACTTTTTTGAGGTTTTTATGATTTTTTTCATATTTCTTCCTAACGAAAAACATGAAATATTGGTATAATTAGAAAGGTCCTTGAGAGATGCTTTAAATTCGATATTAGAAATTTTTGTGTAACAGCGAAATAGAAATTTTCTAATTTTGAATTTAAATGAATTTAGTATAGTTCATTGAAATTAATACATATTAATGCTCAATAAAATCTATGGAAACGTTTTCCGTTTTTCAAATTCAATCTAGATCGAAGTTTATTTAAATTTATTGACCCCTATGTACGCTACCAAAACATTGCAAAATAATGTAAACAACAACATACATACATTCCGCTATTAACAAAGCAAGATAAATATAGCTAGCACAATACCGGGCAGAAAATAGTATTAAAAATATGTAAATAAAATACAAAACATATCGAATTTCGAAAAACAAAAAAAAAAAAAAAAAAATATTTCGGTGAAATTATGATATTTATAATGTAGTAATTTCAATTTCAATTAATTACATTACATAATTCTATGTAAAAATTTTAAAAACTTAAAAATTTTCCGAAAAATTACGATATTTGTACTAATTCTGGAGTAGAATATCAAATTGTGTTTTTTTATTGAAATCGTCTCCCAAAGACCTTTCATATGATACTAAATTTGCAACTAAATATTTGCAAGAAATATAAAAATCATAAAAACCCTAAAAAGGACCTTTTTACTCTTTGGTCCAGCTCACCAAATATTGCCGTCAGCACAAAAATTTTGAGAAATGGTATCTTAAAATTAACTAAATTTTCATTCATTTCATGAAAATCCTATGAATTTTGCATTAGCGTGTCATTGGAAGGATGTTGTTCATTTTTGACAACTTTGAACTACATCTAGTCTTATCTTTTCACCAGAAAAAACTGAAAAACGATTTCAATTACCAAAACCTCGTTTTCAATTATTTTATTTTTTGAAGTTCAACCTATAACAAAAATTGTATATTCAATTACTACTTATAATTGATTTCGTACACAAAATTTTTATATTTTTCTATTTTTGTTGTTGTTAATACGTATTTGATTATACATTTTTATGAATCAAATATAAAATGAATTGAACCCTTTTAAAACTTTTGATTAATCGTTTAATTGAAAATTTTTTAAAATTAATTTTTTCTGTGTAGAAGCTGTAAAAATCCGATATTTGTATGTCAAAAATTAACCACATTCTTTCAATGAAACGCTTATGTAAATTTCATTAGTTTTTCATCAAAATTTGAAGTATTTCGAATATGTTGTTTGTAGTCATAATAAAACACAAGATGTATTAATTTACAGGTGAAGTCAATAAGACAGCTGATAATTTTTTGTTCGATTTGTTTTATATTTCCTAACTGTCAAAGTTTATTTACATTTGTTATTTTATTTTTATTTTTCGGTTTTATTTACAAATAAAAATTTAAAAAAATGTGTGTTTTTTACACCACATTCGTTTTTATATATTAAAATGTGTAAAAACAATTACTAAAGTGTAGATAATTGTACAAATACTCCTTGTCGCAGCTCTTCAAAATCCTCGGGACCAAAAAAATCGAAAAATCGGCACAGAAAACCTCGAACAAAATTAAGATGCAGAGAAAACGTGGTTCAAGGCGTGCAGGCAAGGAACGCAACTCAATCGCAACCTCAAAAACTAAAATTATCAGAATTTAAATAATTGTTATTAATCTATAAAAGGTTGGCTGCGCAATTCATTAAGAAATTAACCTCATCCATTATGGATTATCCTCCAATATCTTCACGAATATTAAAAGATCAATGTAAATCCGTAATGCTTCTCGAGTTCTCAAGTACCTCGAACTTGCTTCAACTGAGCCGATGGCCATGCGAACTTGCTATATGACTCCCTATGAAGCTATCCGCTCACCCTCTTGCACCTAAAAAATTGAATAGCTTCAGCAAGGAATGTTTGTGCAAACACCAAAGAACGTCATCATTCCATAGGCGACCTACTAATGACCGAAACATACATTTTGTATTTGCAATTACATGCAAATTTCATTATTTTCATTTAAATATTGAAAAAAATTTATTTTTTTTATTTTATTTATTTTTCCATTTGACAGTTAGAAAATATTTTTACAAAAACAAATTCAATGTTGTTTTTGCTTAGTTGTATTTGTTGTAGAATTGGGACTACCTGTAAGTCATTATGCCATGAATAAAACAATAATAAGGTAGAATCAGTAGAAAAGTACGTTCTCAATTTTACATGCCTTGAATTGTCACAAAAAAGAAAATTAAAAAATATAACAAAACATCAAATAAAAATTATTTAAAATTTTTTTGTGAAGAAAACAAAATTTGATAATTCGAATAAAAAATATCGCAAAACGAGTAAAAATCAAAAACAGGATAATGTGGAATGCTGTTTGCGTGTGCCGTTCAAGAATCATTTCATGGTATTTTTCGTGGTTTTTCATTTGAAGATTTTGAAGTTTTTCTCTTTTTAGTTCTTTTTTGTTTGACTTAACAAGGCAGAGAATTGACAACTCTCCCTGCTGATTCTAGCTTTCTATGGTTGTATCATGGTTTGTAGTGACTTTTTTACATCTCTTTCCTCATTTTTAATTGTGTTTTCATTTGTAAGGATATGTTTGATTTATAAAAGCAAAAAGTATGCAATCGCATTTTTAGATGTGATTAAGATGTCGTTTGTGAAGTATGACATCAAGAAAAGTCACTACAAATAACATATTCGAAGTACTTCAAATTTTGATGAAAAACCAATGAGATTTACATAAGCGTTTCATTGAAAGAATGTGGTTTATTTTTGACATACAAATATCGGATTTTTACAGCTTCTAAAGATAAGATTAGATGTAGTTCAAAGTTGTCAAAAATGAAAAACATCCCTCCAATGACACGCTAATGTAAAATTCATAGGTTTTTCATCTGAATTTGAAGCACTTCGGGTTACTAGTTGTGATGAAAATTCTACATCTTTTTCCAAACTTTTTTTGCTGGGATATAACATAACATGAATGTACGAATAAAAGCGAAAATATGTAATCGCATTTTTAAGATTAATTAAGATGTCGTTTGTAAAGTGTGACATCATGATGTCATTATTATTATTTTAGCATTATTTCTCCAACAGAAAACTTAGCCTTAAACATTAAAACCATGTCCTTATAATTGTTTTATTAAAAAAATTAAAATTTTAAGTTTTTTTAATTATTTATTTATTTATTTATTAATCCATATTGTAATACAAAGCCATCCAAGAAAAAAAAAATCGTATTAAAAAAATCGTGTAAGATATAACTTAGAAACTTATTGTTAAATTAGCATGATTTTGCATGTTATGGCCAACAACACTAAACCTAAAATATTTTTAGAACCATTTTTTGTGATTGAATTACCCTTCATACATACATATGTATGTATGTATGTATATGTATGTTAAGGAGTGAGATCGAAAAAATCTTAACACAAACTAAATTTACAGTTTTTTTCTTTTATTTGATTGAAATTATTATTATATATATATATATATATATATATATATATATATATATATATATATATATATATATATATATATATATATATATATATATATATATATATATATATATATTTTTTTTTTTCGGAAACCGTTCCATTAACGTGTTTATAGTGCTTTCTGTCACTTTGCTTGAACAGGTAGTCCCAATATCTCTCCACTGGCCTTAGCTCCGGGTAGTTTAGAGGATTTGCCTCTGTTGGTACAAATACCACTTTATTGTTCTTGTACTACTCAAGGCTTGTTTACCATAGTGTCAGTTTGCCAAGTCAGGCCAAAAATAAGTGGACATATTATGAAGTCTTATGAATGGAAGCAGACTTTTTTGTAAACATTCCTTGATGTAAATTCGGTATTTTAGTGCCCGTTGTAACAAATGATTTTTTATAAAACTTGTTTATAACATTGCAAACAGTTTGACGGCAGACCTTTGAATGCTTGGCCAACTTTTTGTAGGATCAAGTTGGGTTTTGTTGAAAATATTTAATAATATTAGTACGCACATTTTTCTGGTCACTCATTTTAATCAGATTAACAAGAAATTAATATAATTGACATTAAACGTAACCCAGCAAAAAAAGTGTGGAAAAAGATGTAGAATTTTCATCACAACCAGTAACCCGAAGTGCTTCAAATTCATGTGAAAAACCTATGAATTTTACATTAGCGTGTCATTGGAGGGATGTTGTTCATTTTTGACAACTTTGAACTACATCTAATCTTATCTTTAGAAGCTGTAAAAATCCGATATTTGTATGTCAAAAATAAACCACGTTCTTTCAATGAAACGCTTATGTAAATTTCATTGGTTTTTCATCAAAATTTGAAGTACTTCGAATATGTTGTTTGTAGTGACTTTCCTACAACTTTTTTCTCATTTTTAACTGTGTTTTAATTTGTAAGTATATATACTATGCAATCGCATTTTTAGATGTGATTAAGATGTCGTTTGTAAAGTATGACATCAATTATTTTTTGGTGGGTATGTTTGGTTTATAAAAGCGAAAAGTATGCAATCGCATTTTTATTATTTTTTGCTGGGAATAACTGACATGTTTTACAAAGGTAACTTGATCAAAAAACATCTAATACTTTGGTTAAAAGTTCTAATGAAAAACGTGTGTTAAAAAGTTTTCGATTCCTAAAATTATTTATTTTACATTTTTTAGATTCAAAATGAAAAGGAAACATCGAAAAAGGGTGACACAAATGATGCTGTTGATGTGAAATCCATGAATGTTTATAATGAAGCATTGATGTATAAACAATTGCTTTCCTATATGATGGATGGTGAAACTGTTGCCTGTGCTCTAAAACGTCTGGGCAAAAATAGAGTAAAGATGAGTTCTGTAGAAAGATTGCGGTTAAAAAAGAAAGGCATCAGAGATGAGAATGGAGACAAAATAACAAAACTTACTGAATTGGCTAACGAAATTCTAACAAAAACTGGTAATATGGATATATATGAAGCTACCTATGAATCTATAAAAGAAAAAGTTAATTGTACTCCGAGCACAAGCAAAGATGGTGGCTTGCTAACAGAGTCTAATTTTGATATGTATTCCGATGACTTCAACAAAAATGAGAAGGAGCAGTTAAAAAACCAAAATTGCAAGAACGATAGTGAGGAAAAGAAAGTGACAGATTCAAAACCGAAAGAGCTTCTTTGGGAATTCAAGTGGAATGAAAACGATAACACGCTACAAGGACCTTTTAATACAAAACAAATGCTTAAATGGTCGAATGATGGATATTTAAAAAATGGAGTTTATGTTAGAAAAGTGGGAGAACAAACAAATTTCTATACGAGCAATCGTATAGATTTTGATCTTTATTTATAAACTAATTTAATTTCTGCTTTAAAGAGATCCTGATATAATTATATTAAGTAATAATTAAACATCCCAGCAAAAAAAGTGTAGAAAAAGATGTAGAATTTTCATCACAACCCAGCAAAGAAAGTGTGGAAAAAGATGTAGAATTTTCATCACAACTAGTAACCCGAAGTGCTTCAAATTCAGGTGAAAAACCTATGAATTTTACATTAACGTGTCATTGGAGGGATGTTGTTCATTTTTGACAACTTTGAACTACATCTAATCTTATCTTTAGAAGCTGTAAAAATCCGATATTTGTATGTCAAAAATAAACCACATTCTTTCAATGAAACGCTTATGTAAATTTCATTGGTTTTTCATTAAAATTTGTAGTGACTTTTCTACAACTCTTCTCATTTTTAACTGTGTTTTCATTTGTGAAGATATGTTTGGTTTATAAAAGCGAAAAGTATGCAATCGCATTTTTAGATGTGATTAAGATGTCGTTTGTAAAGTATGACATCAATTATTTTTTGCTGGGAACTAGTAACCCGAAGTGCTTCAAATTCGGGTGTAAAACCTATGAATTTTACATTAGCGTGTCATTGGAGGGATGTTGTTCATTTTTTGGCAACTTTGAACTACATCTGATCTTATTTTTAGAAGCAGTAAAAATCCGATATTTGGATGTCAAAAATAAAACACATTCTCTTAATGATACGCTTATGTAAATTTCACTACTCTTTCACCAAATCTTGATGTACTTCAAATATGTTATTTGTAATGACTTTTCCACATCTCTTTCCTCACTTTTAACTGGGGTTTCATTTGTAAAGAAATATTTGGTTTATAAAAGTGAAAAATATGTGATCGCATTTTAAGATGTGATTAAGATGTAGTTTGTAAAGTATGACATCAATTATTTTTTGCTGGGATGTAAAGAAACAGAGTTCTTAACGGATTGCATGTGGAATAAATCCATTTTTTATTATAAAAAAGTTGAAAATAATTTTTAACATTTATTATTAAATGCAAATTTTTGGCATTTTGACAAAATTTACAAAAAAGTTGAGTCGCTCAATACCTAGAATTAAAGAGATGTTAATAACATTTCCGAAAATATAAAAATTATTTCTTTGCCACTCCTAGAAATACCGCTCTTTTTGTTTTATATACGGACATTTCCATCGTGAAAATATATATGGGAAATTACATATAAAGTGACCCAACAAAAATCGTTTTTGACGAAATTTGTACCAATGTTAGTACTATTGAATAGTAGGCCAGCACTATCTGTCCAGAATTGCCGGACTTAGAGGGGGTCAAATAGTGTTTATAAACCGGTTAACTGAAAAATCGGTTTTTATTGCATATTTCGGTTTTTCGCAAACCGGTTTTTTAAAACATTGGTTTTCGGTTAATCGGGTTATCCGGTTTTTAAGTCTCGGTTAACCGGTTTCAAAAAAAATCTATTTTAAGTACAAAATTCTGTTTCTTGATTTTTATTGTGATTTTTTAAAAAATTTGAATAGATAATTGTAAACATTACTTTCCGTTTGTGCATATGAAAACAGACACAAGATTGTTAAACAAATGTTAGGAAATGTTAAACATATACAGTCTTATGCAAAAAAACTTACAACATGCTTACTAACCGTTGTTAAACTAAATTCGATAAAAGTATATCCAAAAACGATAATTAGCTTAAAATACCTGTAGTAAACCATTGTTAAATATACGAAAGTTAATAATGGTTCAACCGTACTTTAAACCTATATTAAAGTCAAATGTCATTATTTTATTACAATTTATAACTGTTGACGTTTTGTTAAAAATATTGTTGTGTTAATTTTTTAAATAAATTATAAAAAATAAATAAATAAAAAACAATATGGATACACTTTTCCTTTTATTTTCAGGCTTTGTCTCCATATTTTTTCTTTTCTTTTTGGCAAAAATATAAATTTTGTTTATAAAATAGTTTAGTGATGTGTAAAATATCAATGCAAATTTAAAGAAAACGTTACTCGATTACTTTCTTTAATCAAAATATAATATTGCAATTACATTAGTTGTTTTATTTGATTTATACGTTGTTTTTATTAAGTAAACAAATACAACCCCACTTTTATGTTATTAAAAACAATTATTTTATATAAATGCATAAAAAAATAATATTAGACGCGAATACCAAATGAACTAATAATCGTTCATATACAACATTATGAAAATATTGACAGTATAAAATAATGGTATTGCCAGCATCCAATCTAAAAACACATTAAAATGTATTTTAGTTAAAATACTGTTTTTGCATATACTTTTTTAATAATGGATTATTAAGCTAAAAGTCGTTGTTAACTAATGTACACTTTAAGGTCATAATAAGGTTTTTTTTTGCATAAGACTGATATTATTTATATAGACAATCAGGAAATTAGTAAAAAGTTGGCATTTAAACCAATAAAAAATTAACTATTTAAACAAATTCCAACCATTATATGAAGAAATTTGTTATTTATTAAGGCGAATAAATAACTTTGATGACAAAATACAGGATGCACTTACTTGTTTACTGCGTGAGTATAATAAAAATCTGGAAGTTTCTCAAAGCGGACTTTATCGAAACATAAGGATTTTTGTTGCTTTCCGAGAATTTATGCTGCTGGGGTTTTTCACAAACTGTAATGGCGCTTAAGTTGATTGACAGGAATTCAGAATGACACCTGTCAATATTCCTAAGCGTCATTCACAGTAATTTGAACAACTACAGGCGTAGCGAGCGGAGGGAGGTCACAATTAAAGCAGGGGCTCAATGTCTATGTCGATACAGTCGTCGTCTACTTCCGTTCCCGATGAATCGTCGCGGTCCTGAACACTCTTTATACTTGATTGTCCTGGACATCAATTTTTTTATTGATATAGATGGATTATATATTCAAAGGTCAATTTATCCCTCCTATGGCAACTTCCATATACCTAACGAATCAATAATATCTTCAGATCTGTATAAGTTTGTTTCCTTATGATATATTAATGTACATAGGTACATATCTATACTAAAAAGTGCAAATATCTTATTAAGTAATTCATAATATTTCGCAAAATGACATTTTTCAACTAATATTATAATATTTTAAAGATTTCCAAACATTTCGGTTAACCGGTTTAACCGGTTTTTTATACTCGGTTAACCGACAAACCGGTTTTCTAGAAATGGTAAATTTTCGATTAACCGAAAACCCGGTTTTTCCAAAAGTCGGTTTTTTATAAATACTAGGGTCAAAGTTGAACATAAGTATTTATTCAAATGCGTGTAAATTTTCACCTATTGCTTTATAGTTACATAGTGGGATGCAAGGGGCTTATGTAAAAAAAATAATCTTTTAACTCAAAAACATTGCTTCTTGTTCAAATATACCACTCGCATCCCACAAATTTCTTAAAAGAAATGTATACACATATGTATATTAGAGTGACCACAAAAAGTCGATGTTGGATTCTTCTTCCTCTTAACCCCACAAAATGATTCCCCTTTCGAGATATTTCGATTTGAGCTTGATTAAAAGACGTTAACACGTGCTCGTCGCTCAAAGTTTGAAAAAATTCAAATTTTTGGCCAAAAAGCTATAATAATAATAAATATCGGACCATATATTATAAATTCCTGTAATTTTAGTAAATATGGCCAACAAATAAATAATATTTCGATATGCTTCAATGATAATTTCCAAATATTGCAAATTTGACCTCCAAAGTTTACGACTTAGGATTTCCCGATTTATATATAACTTCAGGAACATATTTTATATTATCTAAGACAAAATAAATATATTGTTTAAAATGTATAACAGTAAAGAATTAGGACATATTTTCTAAAATATTACAAACAAATTAGTTTTTCGCGAAATTCGAAAATTCAAATGCAGATACTGCTAAACTATAAGGGGTATTGACCTAATTTTTTCACTGTTTTATTCCCTAATCTATTGAGCATAAATCCCCCGGTGATATTTCAAAAAATTTAAAATTTATTTAATGCTATGTTTCCACTGAGGCGTTATGAGCAAATCTAGTTGATTTGTGCAAAACTAGTTGAAACCATGTAGATTAAAACCGTAAGTTTGTATTTTTATCTTCTTATTCACAAACAAAATGTTTATTTTATAAACGGTTTATAAATTAGATTATGTGTGGAAACAGGATTTGTTCGAAAATTCGAATCTCAAAAACGAGTAAGCTCAGTGGAAACACCTCGAAGAGGTTTACGCAAATCTGGTAGATTTGAAGCCAATGGAAACATAGCATAACAAAGATTTAAAAACATTGATCATAGCTGAGAACAGGTTCACAATATCTTTTAAGGACAAAAACTTATATTCGATTAAATACTATTTTATGTAATAAAATAGTTTTATTAGAATTATGATGATTCTTTAGCAATAATATGTGAAATATTTACCTAATAGCAACATTTATCACATAATATCAAAATATACGAAGTATGCTCCTGCCACGACCAGGTCACGTTTTGATAGTACACAATAGGGATTTGTTACCTACATTTGTCATTGCATAATTTTAATTAAAATCAAGAAAATTTTCTTGAGTCCTTAAAGGTTTTGAATAAAGAGTGCAACGTAAAAGTGAGCACACCTAAATTTATAATTATAATTACTTGTGTTTTTAATAGTTTACAATTTGTAAGTAAATATTTTTAAATTAATCATTCTGTCATATACATACATATGTATGTACTTCAAGACTGGCAAAAAAATTGTTAGGAATAGTTTAATTAAATTTTTTCTCAGGTGCTATATTTTATTTAAATCTCAGAGGATTAAACTACATACTATGTATGTATGTAGTTACATACATACATACATACATACATACATCCATACATACATACATACATACATACATACATACATACATACATACATACATACATACATACATACATACATACATACATACATACATACATACATACATACATACATACATACATACATACATACATACATACATACATACATACATACATACATAGATACATACATACATACATACATACATACATACATACATACATACATACATACATACATACATAAGTATATTGATATCATTAGGAGCATGTGACGGTCTCTTACATCTATTTAATTGTTATTTTTTTTTTATTTTCACATTTTTTTAGCTTTTTTATTTTATAAAAAGTTCTCTTCGTAGTCGATATTGAAAATTTAATTGTTTTTGTTTTGAATATTGATATTCGCTATTATAAAAGCAAATTAAAAATAGTTTATAGCCCTACGACACCAGATGGCAGTTGTGTCCTGGGTTAAGTAAGTTTAAATCACAATAACCCTACAGTACAAGGTGAAATATGAGGACTACTTATAATGATATAAGGACACCTTATAATGATATTGGCATACCAATGTAAAACAACAAAATACTGGCATACCAAAACAACACTGAAACAACAATACAACACAACTTCAAAGATCGTATGAGTAGCCATGACGATAAAACATCGTATGATGACTTTGACTATTACTGTAGAAAAGCATATAGATCAAAGACAATTAGAGCTCCTGAAGGTGAAGTTGCGAAAAGTGACATAGTGCTAAAGTTTTATATCAGATCTCAAAATAAGATAACAAAATATCGAGTGAACATTAAATTAGAAAGGAAATAAGTTAAATCAAACTGAAAACCAAAATGAAAGGTAAAATTCTCTACGATTTTTGCGAATATTGTATTTAGAATTGATCCCCACTATATGGGATTAGAAGTCAAATGCAATAATCGATAAACGTTTTGGAAATTTAAGGAAAGTGAAAATTACAATATAGATGTTTTTTCTTGTTAATAGATAAAAAACCAGGAGGAAACAGAAATTTACGCCATCTGTTGAAAAAAATTGAAACTTTGACATACTAGCGAAGCCACACACGCAGAATTAAAATTATACAGTAAAAGGTCATCAAAACCGCAATGGATGAAAAGTCAGGTTTGGGTAAGCCGCTGTATACCATAATATAGGTTAAGATCAAAGAATTGTCTCGACATTTGAACAAATCACTATAAACCATTACGAACGTACAATATCCGTAACTGCGCTTTAGATCTCACATGTGGTATCGTATCTAATGTCTCATTGTCTTTGATTAGTTATTCTGTCCTTACGAGATTTTTTTTTATAATAACCTTTGCATACCAAAAAAAAAAATAAGGAGAATATTAACACTGTGAAGTAAAAAATCAAAGGGAAGCTAAAAAAAAAAACAAAAAAAAAAATAAAAATAAATATTATCCTATTTTCGTTTTTTTTTTTTTAAATCCGCAAATCTAAACACAAATTACTTATATATACGTTTTAATAAAAAAAAAATATATATATATATATTTTTTGTAACTCATATTGCATGCAAGTAGTTAAATTTTCTAATAAATTAAAAATAGAATAAATTAAAAATAAAATTAGTAACTAAAGATTTCATTAAGATACTTATTGAACTAAATATAAAAAAAAGGTTTCATTGTTACTAACTAAAAAAAAAAAATAAGTTAATGATTATTTCTATTAACGTAATTGAATTTTTTTTAGTGTTACTCATTTTGTTCATCTAGTTCAATAACTATCTTATTGACACTAAATGGACACAAAAATATATGAATTAAACATCTACCATATAAATTACTAAACAAATCTATAAGTAAATAATTAGTTAACTAAATAATTATATAAATTAATCAGGAGACAATCAAAATACGATTAGGTATTGTTAATAAATTATATGAAAATAAAATAACTAAAGTACGAACACCTACTAGAGATAATTGAAACTAAATCGAGGATAAACTGCTAAGTTAATTGATCAATTAATCTATAGTCGTTTATGCATAAAAATAATAATAAGTAATCAAATATAAAAAGATTGTTATCCAAATAATTTATTATATTAATTTCATAAATTTTGGCTTATTTTTCGAATTTAGTAATTCTTTTTTTAGTAATTCTTTTTAATGAAATATGAGTTTAACTACTATTAATTATTTCGTCAAAATTTATACTTTTTATTTCATAGTTATAATTTTTTTGTTACGTTTAAAAGTTATGTTAAAAATCATTCTATTAAAAGAACAATAAAATTATGTATATGTTTATGATTGAAATTTGAAATTCTAATCTTTATGAATATGGAGAACTAAAAGGAAAACTGCAGGTAATGATGTGAATCTGAAAGGTTTTGGTAAGCGAAGTAAAGGGACTCCTAGAACATGTTTGGAAGGTGACCAGGAGTCAGGGATGACTTAAACTAAGTCACGAATAGGGGAGGGCAACCTACGAAGACAATTCTAACTGTGTCTTCACGTGAATTCTAACCTTCATCCACACATTTCATATCTACTGTCGCAAGTCCGTCTGTCATAATTGGTCTACTACAGTGTTTCGTCAATTGTTTTATGTATGTATGCTCCCGGCACGAAATCTCTTTAAATGTTGACAAATCTAGTGAAAAGAACTACCCCTATCCGACGAGCTTAAGCCGTACATCCACCAGCGTGCCAACCACCACTACAGCGATTTGTCACATTTTGGCGCCCAACGTATAAGCATTTTATAAAATGCCATACAACTCAATATTTAGGTCTTTAGGGAAATAACGCATGTCCCGGAAGATGATCATTGAAAACATCATGCCTGCGTAGCGGCGTTTTTTTTCAAGAAGACCGAAATATTGAGGAACTGATTAGTTCAAATTGATTTGCACCTATTGGGATAAGTCATAAGCACTCTGACCAAAAAGTTAACAGCTTATTCGCGATTCCAATGGATACAAAGAGAGGAGAACTAAAAAGTTCAAATAAATGTAGTATTGTTATGTGTTCCGTCTCAAATTTTGCGTCCGTTTGGAATACAATTTGAACCCCGAATTGAAACACCTTATTCACACATAAAATTTTTATTTAGTTTTCCTAAAGGAAAAGTAAAATATTAAAATTTTATGCAAGACAAAGGAAATTTAAATATATGTAAATTACATCTATCTTATGTTTAACATCATAGGAAAACTTAAGATGCACTAGAATACTATACCAACGTTGGTGAAATGGAGGTTACGAAAATAGTTCACACCTTATCAATTCACATCAACCTGTAATTAAGAAAGAAAAGGAATTTACAAATTACTTATATACAAACTAACAAATTATTGAAAGCAAAATAAAGAAAAACTATAATAGTATCTAAAAACTAACTAAAACTAAAACATTGTGTAATAGAGTTATATGTATTTATTTGTAGAATAATTTGTCTATGCGTCAATTTGTTTGTTCGTCAATTTGTCAAGATAAGTAAAACGATTTGTTCTAATGTTATAGGATTAAAAAAAAAAGAAAAGAGAAAACACTGATTGAAAATTATTATAATTTATTTAGGAGAAACCCTGTTAATTATGCCCGTTACTAGATTTAAATCGGCGAATAGAGGTAATCCGAGCAAAAATCCTCAAACAACTCCACCATCGAATAACCAAAATAGGACTGTAGAACCGGAAAATACGAATGTAATCACACCCTTACTCGACATAAGATTCCAAGACAATCAAGGTCCCCAAACCACTTCCTCACCTGAAACTGACAGTACAATCCGTACACCAACATACAGTAGTCTGACTGCAAGAACAATAAGCGGACAAAATTCTAACATGGCCACACATAACAGTAGTTTACCCCATCTAAATGAAGAAGTAAATCCAGATATGCTCATAAATGGGGCTGGTTTATCATTAAGAGAATATGTTAGCGCTTCTGTGGGTGTAGCACAAGCAGGTATCATGCAAGAAGTCCAACAAAATATTCAGGAAATGATACCTAGATTAATTAGGGAATCACTTAGATCTGAAATGAACTCAACCCTTACCCAACAAAGTAGAAATAACGACAATAGTTTCCAATATCTCCCACGGGTAACACGGCCGAATATAAATCAACAACAACAGCAATATCTCAATACAACTCATCATCAAGTACCAAATATCAATCGATGTTACAGCAATACTCAACCACCATACACAAATCAACACCAAAATAATCAATATTTTCCACAACTTCATCCATTTCCTAATATACCTTCAAATCAATGTCTTACTCAAAACATGGCATTCTTGTATAGACCAAATACACCACTTCAGCTAGAGAAATGGGGAATCAAGTTCGACGGGACTAATAAAGGATTCTCTATAGAGGATTTCGTATTTCGGGTAGAATCCTTAAGAGAAGACTATAATTGTGCCTGGAGTATTGTCATGAAGGGATTCCATCACTTATTATGTGGAGAAGCATATGAATGGTTCTGGAACTTTTGTAAACAAAACCCTATTTGTGAATGGAATACATTAAAAGAAAATATTATAAGAAAATTTCAACGATTCCAAAGCGATTTCGAGGTACAAAGACGAATCATGGAACGTCGACAACAACCAACAGAAACCGCTGATACGTACATAGCAGAAATTATTAAACTTAAAAATCAACTGAGAAACAATTATCCGGAATACGAATTGGTTCAAATCATCAAAGATAATTTAAAAGATGGACTATCCCAATTAGTCTTCCCAATAAGAATCGATTCAGTTAATCAACTGTTAGAAGAATGTCGAAGAGCAGAACGAAACCTAGCAAAAAGAACATACTACAGACAACAATACAAACGTGTCAATGAAGTCGATTTCTGTGAAAATGTACCTAGCGAAGACACCTGTCCATTCGAAGCTTTTGAATATGATAACCCTCATGTCAAACAATTAATCTGTTGGAATTGCAAACATCCTGGTCACTCGTTCATTGATTGCAACATAACCCAACGAAATTTGTTTTCTTTCAAATGTGGGTTCGAGAATGTAATTACTCCAAAATGCCCTAGATGTTTGGGAAACGGAAAATTGAACATGCCAAGGACTGGGCAAACATGTTCAAATATGAAGGCCTCCCAGTAAATGACAATTTCTTAAATTATATAGTTGACCCGACTGATACTAAGGAGTTAGATGGCCAATCGAGTAATAGTAAACAGGGACAGGAAACCCAAAAACAATTACCTATAAGGAATAACTTGGAAAAGACAAAAGTAAATTCTGAAGATATACAACGATTGTCTTACGAAGAAAGGTTAGAAAATTATAATAGAGTAAGAGACAAAATTTTCGGAAAAGAAGAAATTCCTATCGGAATCACCGATAGGATTAGAAAAACAAGGAAAAGATACGAGATTAGAAAAAAGGAAAGAAAGGATATTGCATCGTGTTCTGTCCACTTAGATGATGACATACGACCGTATATGGATGTTCAAGTAAACGACGTAAAACTCACAGGGCTAATGGACAGCGGAGCCTCCATAAGCTGTCTTGGAAAAAACTGTTTGGATAAAGTTGGCCAAATTGGGTCTAAAATCATGGATTTTAAATCCATAATTAGGACAGCAGATGGCAGAAGTCATGACATAATTGGAAAAATAAAAGTGTTAGTACAATGTGGGAGTAGAATCATCGAAACAGTATTATACTTAGTGCCTAATTTAAAGCAGGAACTCATATTAGGCTATGATTTCTGGAAAAAAGTTGGAATAAGGATTTGCTTAGGAAATGAACAGATTAGCGAAATCAAAGATGAGATCGAAGATTTGAAAATGCACCAACTATCATCAGCGGAGTTAAAGGTTCTAGAAAAAGTTAAATCTTCATTTAAGTGCTATACCAAATATGGCCTTGGAAAGACCCACTTAGAGACGCACTATATAGACACCGGTGATTCACCGGCAAAAAAGTTAAGACATTATCCAGTTAGTCCGGCAGTACAAAAATTAATGTATGAGGAACTCGACAGAATGTTGCAATTGGATGTTATTGAAATCGCTACAAACTCAGAATGGAATAATCGAGTCACGTTGGTAATTAAACCAAATAAAAACCGTTTATGCCTTGATGCCAGGGAACTAAATAAAGTTACAAGGAAGGACGCATATCCCCTCCCAAGTATTGATGGACTCCTCGCTCGACTCGGAGATACTTATTATATTTCAGCTATTGATTTAAAGGACGCATTTTGGCAAGTGCCTTTGGAGGATTCTAGTAGGTGTAAAACTGCGTTCACAGTTCCCGGTAGACCGCAGTATCAATTCAAGGTAATGCCCTTCGGTCTATGCAACGCTGCTCAGCGTCTCTGCAGTCTCATGGACAAGGTTGTGCCCACAGAACTAAAGGACCGAATATTTGTGTACCTTGATGATCTGCTGGTTGTGTCAACTAATTTTAATGACCATATGACGATGCTTGAAGTTGTAGGACCGAGACTAACTGCGGCAGGTTTGACAATAAACATGCAGAAGTCCAAGTTCTGCTACAAAGAACTAAAATACCTCGGATATGTAGTAGGCGGTGGGAAAATCAAGCCGGATGACAGCAAAATAGCGGCAATATTAAATATTCAACCGCCTAAATCACCTAAAGACGTTAGGAAATTTCTTGGAACGGTTGGCTGGTACCGGCGATTCATCAATAACTTTTCAACATTGACAGCGCCTCTTACCGATACCCTCAAAAAGTCCAAAACATTTGTTTTTACCCCTGAAGCCATTACATCTTTCGAAAAGCTGAAACAATGCTTAGTATCAAGTCCTCTACTGACAAGTCCTGATTTTGAGAAGCCTTTCTTCGTACAATGTGACACTTCAAACGTAGGCATAGGAGGTGTCCTGTTTCAGAAAGACCAAGATGGTGAAGAACACCCAATAGAATATTTCTCCAAAACTATTCAACGACGGAAAAAGAATGCCTCGCCGTAGTATTGGCAATCGAAAAATTTCGTCAATATATAGAATTAATGGATTTTACTGTAATCACAGACCACTCCAGTCTTAAGTGGCTGATGAAACAACAGGATTTAAATGGCCGATTAGCACGATGGAGTCTAAAATTACAGTCTTTCAAATTCAACATAGAACATCGAAAGGGAACTAAAAATGTTGTTCCCGATATGCTGTCCAGGATGGACATGGAAGAATTAAGCGAAACATTTCCAAAACTAGTGGACTTAGAGTCAGAGGAGTTTAAAAACTTTAATTATCTTTCTCTTATTGAGACAATTAACCAGAACAAGGATAGATTACCCGATCTGAAAGTTGTAAATGGAATTATATATAAGCGAGTTCATTTTAATCGTGAAGACGAAGTATTTGATAAAGAATGCTGGAGAATCTGGTTACCCGTGGAATTGACAAAAGATGTAATCAGGAAATCACATGTCGAAAACACATCACATGGGGGTGTAAATAAGACCTTATTTAATGTTAGAGAGTTTTTTTACTGGCCTACAATGGCTAAACAGATTAAATTGTTTATAGGTAATTGTGAAGTGTGTAAAGAAATAAAACACTCGAAACAAATACTTAGACCTCCGATGGGCATGGAAGTACGCACGGACAGACCATTTCAAAAGATATATGTGGACTTTCTCGGCCCTTATCCCAGGACCAAGTCAGGAAATTCATGTATATTCATCGTAATGGACCATCTGACCAAATTTGCTTTGTTAAAAGCTTTGCCAAAAGCAAGTACGAAATCGGTTATAAAATTCTTAAGGGACGAAATATTTTATAAGTTCGGCGTGCCGGAATTGTTACATTCAGACAATGGAAAACAATTCATTTCAAATGATTTCAAAAACTTCTTAAACTTATTCGGAGTAAAACACATGAGAACAGCTATTTATGCACCACAGTCTAACGCTAGCGAAAGGGTGAATCAAACAATATTAAGCTCCATACGAAGCTATTTGCAAAATGACCAATCTAAGTGGGATGAAAATCTCTCTAAGATTGAGTGTTTTCTAAGATCAACGATCCATTCTTCGACAGGTGTTACACCATATTTTGCCCTCACTGGGTATAACATGATAACCCACGCAGACGCGTATGAGATTCTACGAAAATTACAATCAATAGAAGACGGAGAAAACTATATTCTTCCCAAATCAACACAAATGAATTTTATTCATCAGCAGATGAAAAACAAACTACACGATGCGTACGAGAGAAACGTAAGATCTTATAACAAAAGGTGCAGAGCAGTGACAAACAAACCCGGTCAAGAAGTTTTCAGAAAAAATTTTGTGCAAAGCCATTTCGCTAAGGGACTGAATGCAAAGCTCTGTAAACCCTGGCTAAAATACCGCATTCGAAAAGCAATTGGAAAAAACCTATATGAAATAGAAAACTTAAAGGGCCAACTTATAGGAATAATTCATGCCCAACACCTTAAACAATAGCTTGATCTAATTCCGAAAGATGATAGTGAAATACATAATTACCAAAATAAACTCTTTTGTTAACTAGGAAACGCTAGCAATAACATGGTCTGTCATATAGTCCACAGAATCAGATACTTACCCAAATGCAGAAAATAAGATCGGAAGAAAAATTATATCCAGCTCGTTTAATCTTGTTGAGCCAAACGATTACTACATCCATACATATATACATAGGGACATAAAGATAGGAATCAATTTAGAATAATAATGGATTCTGAAAATAAGTGAGGAAAATTAAAATGATAAAGTAATAATATAAATGTACACAGATATTTTTGTCAGATACTCACGTCTATGATTCCTCAATCATTGGGTTTCATTCTGTGCAAACTAATCTTTTTCATAGTCCAAGAGAGCCAAGAGACCTACGGACCAATAGACGGACTGGAAAGATATTATTGAAGTTTATGATTGAAAAAAAAAACTTACCATACGTATGTATGTCTGCTCAATAACAATAAGTAACAACGTTTAGTTATTGAACAGACCTGGTGTTAGCCTTTTGTTTACTTATTTTGGTGACCTCGAAAAATTCACATGTTTTGTTTACAAAATTTCAAGGCCATCATCATATTTTCTCTTACCTCTTCCTTGAAAGCCAACATAAAGCTCGTTTCCACTTGATTCCCTACGTTTGTCACTCCACAGGCTTTGCGACAAAAGCAGGCTTTGTGACGGTCTCTTACATCTATTTAATTGTTATTTTTTTTATTTTCACATTTTTTTTAGCTTTTTTATTTTATAAAAAGTTCTCTTCGTAGTCGATATTGAAAATTTAATTGTTTTTGTTTTGAATATTGATATTCGCTATTATAAAAGCAAATTAAAAATAGTTTATAGCCCTACGACACCAGATGGCAGTTGTGTCCTGGGTTAAGTAAGTTTAAATCACAATAACCCTACAGTACAAGGTGAAATATGATGACTACTTATGATGACCTTATAATGATATTGGCATACCAATGTAAAACAACAAAATACTGGCATACCAATCTGAAACAACAATACAACACAACTTCAAAGATCGTATGAGTAGCCATGACGATAAAACATCGTATGATGACTTTGACTATTACTGTAGAAAAGCATATAGATCAAAGACAATTAGAGCTCCTGAAGGTGAAGTTGCGAAAAGTGACATAGTGCTAAAGTTTTATATCAGATCTCAAAATAAGATAACAAAATATCGAGTGAACATTAAATTAGAAAGGAAATAAGTTAAATCAAACTGAAAACCAAAAGGAAAGGAAACATTTTGTTGAAAATAAAAATTATTATTGTAGAATTATCTTTAGAAAAAAAAATATATATATAGAAAAAAACAATAAAATTTTATATAAAATCTGGTTTACATTTGATCTAAAGACTATACGTAAGATCAAAGAGTTTAAAGTTGATTTGTATAAAATTAAGTTTTTTTTATTTTTTTTATAAATTCTCTACGATTTTTGTGAATATTGTATTTAGAATTGATCCCCACTATATGGGATTAGAAGTCAAATGCAATAATCGATAAACGTTTTGGAAATTTAAGGAAAGTCAAAATTACAATATAGATGCTTTTTCTTGTTAATAGATAAAAAAACCAGGAGGAAACAGAAATTTACGCCATCTGTTGAAAAAAAATTGAAACTTTGACATACTAGCGAAGCCACACACGCAGAATTAAAATTATACAGTAAAAGGGCATCAAAACCGTAATGGATGAAAAGTCAGGTTTGGGTAAGCCGCTGTATACCATAATATAGGTTAAGATCAAAGAATTGTCTCGACATTTGAACAAATCACTATAAACCATTACAAACGTACAATATCCGTAACTGCGCCTTAGATCTCACATGTGGTATCGTGTCTAATGTCTCATTGTCTTTGATTAGTTATTCTGTCCTTACGAGATTTTTTTTTATAATAACCTTTGCATACCAAAAAAAATAAGGAGAATATTAACACTGTGAAGTCAAAAATCAAAGGGAAGCTAAAAAAAACAAAAAAAAAAAAATTAATATTATCCTATTTTCGTTTTTTTTTTCAATCCGCAAATCTAAAAACAAATTACTTATATATACATTTTAATAAAAAAAAATATATATATATATTTTTTGTAACTCATATTGCATGCAAGTAGTTAAATTTTCTAATAAATTAAAAATAGAATAAATTAAAAATAAAATAAAGATACTTATTGAACTAAATATAAAAAAAGGTTTCATTGTTACTAACTAAAAAAAAATAAGTTAATGATTATTTCTATTAACGTAATTGAATTTTTTTAGTGTTACTCACTTTGTTCATCTAGTTCAATAACTATCTTATTGACACTAAATGGACACAAAAATATATGAATTAAACATCTACCATATAAATTACTAAACAAATCTATAAATCTATAAGTAAATAATTAGTTAACTAAATAATTATATAAATTAATCAGGAGACAATCAAAATACGATTAGGTATTGTTAATAAATTATATGAAAATAAAATAACTAAAGTACGAACACCTACTAGAGATAATTGAAACTAAATCGAGGATAAACTGCTAAGTTAATTGATCAATTAATCTATAGTCGTTTATGCATAAAAATAATAATAAGTAATCAAATATAAAAAGATTGTTATCCAAATAATTTATTATATTAATTTCATAAATTTTGGCTTATTTTTCGAATTACTATCCTTTTTAATGAAATATGAGTTTAACTACTATTAATTATTTCGTCAAAATTTATACTTTTTATTTCATAGTTATAATTTTTTTGTTACGTTTAAAAGTTATGTTAAAAATCATTCTATTAAAAGAACAATAAAATTATGTATATGTTTATGATTGAAATTTGAAATTCTAATCTTTATGAATATGGAGAACTAAAAGGAAAACTGCAGGTAATGATGTGAATCTGAAAGGTTTTGGTAAGCGAAGTAAAGGGACTCCTAGAACATGTTTGGAAGGTGACCAGGAGTCAGGGATGACTTAAACTAAGTCACGAATAGGGGAGGGCAACCTACGAAGACAATTCTAACTGTGTCTTCACGTGAATTCTAACCTTCATCCACACATTTCATATCTACTGTCGCAAGTCCGTCTGTCATAATTGGTCTACTACAGTGTTTCGTCAATTGTTTTATGTATGTATGCTCCCGGCACGAAATCTCTTTAAATGTTGACAAATCTAGTGAAAAGAACTACCCCTATCCGACGAGCTTAAGCCGTACATCCACCAGCGTGCCAACCACCACTACAGCGATTTGTCACATTTTGGCGCCCAACGTATAAGCATTTTATAAAATGCCATACAACTCAATATTTAGGTCTTTAGGGAAATAACGCATGTCCCGGAAGATGATCATTGAAAACATCGTGCCTGCGTAGCGGCGTTTTTTTTTCAAGAAGACCGAAATATTGAGGAACTGATTAGTTCAAATTGATTTGCACCTATTGGGATAAGTCATAAGCACTCTGACCAAAAAGTTAACAGCTTATTCGCGATTCCAATGGATACAAAGAGAGGAGAACTAAAAAGTTCAAATAAATGTAGTATTGTTATGTGTTCCGTCTCAAATTTTGCGTCCGTTTGGAATACAATTTGAACCCCGAATTGAAACACCTTATTCACACATAAAATTTTTATTTAGTTTTCCTAAAGGAAAAGAAAAATATTAAAATTTTATGCAAGACAAAGGAAATTTAAATATATGTAAATTACATCTATCTTATGTTTAACATCATAGGAAAACTTAAGATGCACTAGAATACTATACCAACGTTGGTGAAATGGAGGTTACGAAAATAGTTCACACCTTATCAATTCACATCAACCTGTAATTAAGAAAGAAAAGGAATTTACAAATTACTTATATACAAACTAACAAATTATTGAAAGCAAAATAAAGAAAAACTATAATAGTATCTAAAAACTAACTAAAACTAAAACATTGTGTAATAGAGTTATATGTATTTATTTGTAGAATAATTTGTCTATGCGTCAATTTGTTTGTTCGTCAATTTGTCAAGATAAGTAAAACGATTTGTTCTAATGTTATAGGATTAAAAAAAAAAGAAAAGAGAAAACACTGATTGAAAATTATTATAATTTATTTAGGAGAAACCCTGTTAATTATGCCCGTTACTAGATTTAAATCGGCGAATAGAGGTAATCCGAGCAAAAATCCTCAAACAACTCCACCATCGAATAACCAAAATAGGACTGTAGAACCGGAAAATACGAATGTAATCACACCCTTACTCGACATAAGATTCCAAGACAATCAAGGTCCCCAAACCACTTCCTCACCTGAAACTGACAGTACAATCCGTACACCAACATACAGTAGTCTGACTGCAAGAACAATAAGCGGACAAAATTCTAACATGGCCACACATAACAGTAGTTTACCCCATCTAAATGAAGAAGTAAATCCAGATATGCTCATAAATGGGGCTGGTTTATCATTAAGAGAATATGTTAGCGCTTCTGTGGGTGTAGCACAAGCAGGTATCATGCAAGAAGTCCAACAAAATATTCAGGAAATGATACCTAGATTAATTAGGGAATCACTTAGATCTGAAATGAACTCAACCCTTACCCAACAAAGTAGAAATAACGACAATAGTTTCCAATATCTCCCACGGGTAACACGACCGAATATAAATCAACAACAACAGCAATATCTCAATACAACTCATCATCAAGTACCAAATATCAATCGATGTTACAGCAATACTCAACCACCATACACAAATCAACACCAAAATAATCAATATTTTCCACAACTTCATCCATTTCCTAATATACCTTCAAATCAATGTCTTACTCAAAACATGGCATTCTTGTATAGACCAAATACACCACTTCAGCTAGAGAAATGGGGAATCAAGTTCGACGGGACTAATAAAGGATTCTCTATAGAGGATTTCGTATTTCGGGTAGAATCCTTAAGAGAAGACTATAATTGTGCCTGGAGTATTGTCATGAAGGGATTCCATCACTTATTATGTGGAGAAGCATATGAATGGTTCTGGAACTTTTGTAAACAAAACCCTATTTGTGAATGGAATACATTAAAAGAAAATATTATAAGAAAATTTCAACGATTCCAAAGCGATTTCGAGGTACAAAGACGAATCATGGAACGTCGACAACAACCAACAGAAACCGCTGATACGTACATAGCAGAAATTATTAAACTTAAAAATCAACTGAGAAACAATTATCCGGAATACGAATTGGTTCAAATCATCAAAGATAATTTAAAAGATGGACTATCCCAATTAGTCTTCCCAATAAGAATCGATTCAGTTAATCAACTGTTAGAAGAATGTCGAAGAGCAGAACGAAACCTAGCAAAAAGAACATACTACAGACAACAATACAAACGTGTCAATGAAGTCGATTTCTGTGAAAATGTACCTAGCGAAGACACCTGTCCATTCGAAGCTTTTGAATATGATAACCCTCATGTCAAACAATTAATCTGTTGGAATTGCAAACATCCTGGTCACTCGTTCATTGATTGCAACATAACCCAACGAAATTTGTTTTCTTTCAAATGTGGGTTCGAGAATGTAATTACTCCAAAATGCCCTAGATGTTTGGGAAACGGAAAATTGAACATGCCAAGGACTGGGCAAACATGTTCAAATATGAAGGCCTCCCAGTAAATGACAATTTCTTAAATTATATAGTTGACCCGACTGATACTAAGGAGTTAGATGGCCAATCGAGTAATAGTAAACAGGGACAGGAAACCCAAAAACAATTACCTATAAGGAATAACTTGGAAAAGACAAAAGTAAATTCTGAAGATATACAACGATTGTCTTACGAAGAAAGGTTAGAAAATTATAATAGAGTAAGAGACAAAATTTTCGGAAAAGAAGAAATTCCTATCGGAATCACCGATAGGATTAGAAAAACAAGGAAAAGATACGAGATTAGAAAAAAGGAAAGAAAGGATATTGCATCGTGTTCTGTCCACTTAGATGATGACATACGACCGTATATGGATGTTCAAGTAAACGACGTAAAACTCACAGGGCTAATGGACAGCGGAGCCTCCATAAGCTGTCTTGGAAAAAACTGTTTGGATAAAGTTGGCCAAATTGGGTCTAAAATCATGGATTTTAAATCCATAATTAGGACAGCAGATGGCAGAAGTCATGACATAATTGGAAAAATAAAAGTGTTAGTACAATGTGGGAGTAGAATCATCGAAACAGTATTATACTTAGTGCCTAATTTAAAGCAGGAACTCATATTAGGCTATGATTTCTGGAAAAAAGTTGGAATAAGGATTTGCTTAGGAAATGAACAGATTAGCGAAATCAAAGATGAGATCGAAGATTTGAAAATGCACCAACTATCATCAGCGGAGTTAAAGGTTCTAGAAAAAGTTAAATCTTCATTTAAGTGCTATACCAAATATGGCCTTGGAAAGACCCACTTAGAGACGCACTATATAGACACCGGTGATTCACCGGCAAAAAAGTTAAGACATTATCCAGTTAGTCCGGCAGTACAAAAATTAATGTATGAGGAACTCGACAGAATGTTGCAATTGGATGTTATTGAAATCGCTACAAACTCAGAATGGAATAATCGAGTCACGTTGGTAATTAAACCAAATAAAAACCGTTTATGCCTTGATGCCAGGGAACTAAATAAAGTTACAAGGAAGGACGCATATCCCCTCCCAAGTATTGATGGACTCCTCGCTCGACTCGGAGATACTTATTATATTTCAGCTATTGATTTAAAGGACGCATTTTGGCAAGTGCCTTTGGAGGATTCTAGTAGGTGTAAAACTGCGTTCACAGTTCCCGGTAGACCGCAGTATCAATTCAAGGTAATGCCCTTCGGTCTATGCAACGCTGCTCAGCGTCTCTGCAGTCTCATGGACAAGGTTGTGCCCACAGAACTAAAGGACCGAATATTTGTGTACCTTGATGATCTGCTGGTTGTGTCAACTAATTTTAATGACCATATGACGATGCTTGAAGTTGTAGGACCGAGACTAACTGCGGCAGGTTTGACAATAAACATGCAGAAGTCCAAGTTCTGCTACAAAGAACTAAAATACCTCGGATATGTAGTAGGCGGTGGGAAAATCAAGCCGGATGACAGCAAAATAGCGGCAATATTAAATATTCAACCGCCTAAATCACCTAAAGACGTTAGGAAATTTCTTGGAACGGTTGGCTGGTACCGGCGATTCATCAATAACTTTTCAACATTGACAGCGCCTCTTACCGATACCCTCAAAAAGTCCAAAACATTTGTTTTTACCCCTGAAGCCATTACATCTTTCGAAAAGCTGAAACAATGCTTAGTATCAAGTCCTCTACTGACAAGTCCTGATTTTGAGAAGCCTTTCTTCGTACAATGTGACACTTCAAACGTAGGCATAGGAGGTGTCCTGTTTCAGAAAGACCAAGATGGTGAAGAACACCCAATAGAATATTTCTCCAAAACTATTCAACGACGGAAAAAGAATGCCTCGCCGTAGTATTGGCAATCGAAAAATTTCGTCAATATATAGAATTAATGGATTTTACTGTAATCACAGACCACTCCAGTCTTAAGTGGCTGATGAAACAACAGGATTTAAATGGCCGATTAGCACGATGGAGTCTAAAATTACAGTCTTTCAAATTCAACATAGAACATCGAAAGGGAACTAAAAATGTTGTTCCCGATATGCTGTCCAGGATGGACATGGAAGAATTAAGCGAAACATTTCCAAAACTAGTGGACTTAGAGTCAGAGGAGTTTAAAAACTTTAATTATCTTTCTCTTATTGAGACAATTAACCAGAACAAGGATAGATTACCCGATCTGAAAGTTGTAAATGGAATTATATATAAGCGAGTTCATTTTAATCGTGAAGACGAAGTATTTGATAAAGAATGCTGGAGAATCTGGTTACCCGTGGAATTGACAAAAGATGTAATCAGGAAATCACATGTCGAAAACACATCACATGGGGGTGTAAATAAGACCTTATTTAATGTTAGAGAGTTTTTTTACTGGCCTACAATGGCTAAACAGATTAAATTGTTTATAGGTAATTGTGAAGTGTGTAAAGAAATAAAACACTCGAAACAAATACTTAGACCTCCGATGGGCATGGAAGTACGCACGGACAGACCATTTCAAAAGATATATGTGGACTTTCTCGGCCCTTATCCCAGGACCAAGTCAGGAAATTCATGTATATTCATCGTAATGGACCATCTGACCAAATTTGCTTTGTTAAAAGCTTTGCCAAAAGCAAGTACGAAATCGGTTATAAAATTCTTAAGGGACGAAATATTTTATAAGTTCGGCGTGCCGGAATTGTTACATTCAGACAATGGAAAACAATTCATTTCAAATGATTTCAAAAACTTCTTAAACTTATTCGGAGTAAAACACATGAGAACAGCTATTTATGCACCACAGTCTAACGCTAGCGAAAGGGTGAATCAAACAATATTAAGCTCCATACGAAGCTATTTGCAAAATGACCAATCTAAGTGGGATGAAAATCTCTCTAAGATTGAGTGTTTTCTAAGATCAACGATCCATTCTTCGACAGGTGTTACACCATATTTTGCCCTCACTGAGTATAACATGATAACCCACGCAGACGCGTATGAGATTCTACGAAAATTACAATCAATAGAAGACGGAGAAAACTATATTCTTCCCAAATCAACACAAATGAATTTTATTCATCAGCAGATGAAAAACAAACTACACGATGCGTACGAGAGAAACGTAAGATCTTATAACAAAAGGTGCAGAGCAGTGACAAACAAACCCGGTCAAGAAGTTTTCAGAAAAAATTTTGTGCAAAGCCATTTCGCTAAGGGACTGAATGCAAAGCTCTGTAAACCCTGGCTAAAATACCGCATTCGAAAAGCAATTGGAAAAAACCTATATGAAATAGAAAACTTAAAGGGCCAACTTATAGGAATAATTCATGCCCAACACCTTAAACAATAGCTTGATCTAATTCCGAAAGATGATAGTGAAATACATAATTACCAAAATAAACTCTTTTGTTAACTAGGAAACGCTAGCAATAACATGGTCTGTCATATAGTCCACAGAATCAGATACTTACCCAAATGCAGAAAATAAGATCGGAAGAAAAATTATATCCAGCTCGTTTAATCTTGTCGAGCCAACCGATTACTACATCCATACATATATACATAGGGACATAAAGATAGGAATCAATTTAGAATAATAATGGATTCTGAAAATAAGTGAGGAAAATTAAAATGATAAAGTAATAATATAAATGTACACAGATATTTTTGTCAGATACTCACGTCTATGATTCCTCAATCATTGGGTTTCATTCTGTGCAAACTAATCTTTTTCATAGTCCAACAGAGCCAAGAGACCTACGGACCAATAGACGGACTGGAAAGATATTATTGAAGTTTATGATTGAAAAAAAAAACTTACCATACGTATGTATGTCTGCTCAATAACAATTAGTAACAACGTTTAGTTATTGAACAGACCTGGTGTTTGGCATCAATCCAATTTGTCCAAGATTTTGTATGAAAAAAAAAACAAAATAAAGTTTTCAAGTTTTGTGAGACGTAGATCTCCTTTTTATTAAAAACCAAAAGATTACCTCGTAGAAGGTTTGCAGGTTATTATATAAAAGATAAAGTGCACGTAGTGCTTGTCGTAGACAACATCAATATCTTAAGACTGTGTAAAACGAACTTAATTTGGTGGCAAACAATATTTAAGTACCGTTAACGGTTTACTCGTTAGAATCTTCCAGCAAAGATGTATAAAATTGGCATTAGATTCTAACGTTGTTAAAAATAGTATTATTCATTAAAAGGAGCAATTACCAAAATGCAGCTCGCAACAAAACTCGCTTAAACATTGCCGGCCACCTTGCAATATCTCAAGCATATTGTAACAATTAATTCATTTGCAATATCTTAAGCAGAATGAAACTAATGAAAATATAATAATTCATTTGCAATATCTTAAGCCGAATGAATCATGGTTTGTTTTATGACAGATCCATCAACTGTATAAACTAAATACTTAAATATTAGGCAAAACGTAAACATATTGTTACGTTTTACCTTTTAAAACGTTCGTTTATTTCCTTTTGAAATAAACTGGATTCTTCTTATTGCAAATAAAAGCGTCAATTTGTTAAAAACTACAACAACTTTTTATTTACACAGTTTTATACACAAATACTTTTATAACACAACTTATATAGTAGACTGTAAGGCTGTCTTTTTATCTTTAACACACGAAAGCACACTTGACTTTATTAACTTTACTCAATGACGATTTATTACAGACTGACTCATTTGGTGATTGCCACCGCTATTTATACATGGGCATCACCTTCTTTATATTTCCAGTTTATTCTGGCTCCATCATCTAGATACTTCTACTGATGTAAGTCAATGTTTAGTGGAGACACACACCTCTTCAACGCTTAGTGATGCCACCCAAATGTTAGTCGCTAAGAAATGTCGGGAACTGGCCGTTAAAAACCGTTTAGTTTAAATGCAAATTCAATTTCGTAACACTGTCCCCCGCTTAAGCCTGTTCGTCCCGAATAGGCACAGATTCACCTTTCCCATAGGCAGCTAGTCGTTCTAGGTGTACAACCTTCATTTTGCTTCTCGGGCTCTTATATTTCTGTATTCGGTAGACTACGTCGTTTAATTTCTTAATCACCACATACGGTCCTTCCCAGTGAGTTTGCAGTTTAGGGGATAAACCTTTTTTACGTTGTGGGCTATACAGTAGTACTAGCTGGCCTTCGGTAAATCCTTCAGAATTTACTGCTCGATCGTATCTGGCCTTCATTTTATCACTAGTCATTTTTATTCGTCTCCGCACGAATTCATGAAGTTCATTAAGGTCATCTTGCTCTTGGGAAAAGTTTTCATCATCCTTACTTTTTGATGACGGCTTTATACCAAATTCTAAATCACCAGGCAGCTTGAGTTCTGTTCCGAAAATAATTTTTGCAGGTGTTCGAGAGGTGGAGTCGTGAACGGCTGTTCGGTAGGCCAGCAGAAATTTTGGTATGTGTTCATCCCAGTCCTTCTGATGTGCACTAACCACTTTTCTCAAATATTCCTCCAGTGTGCGATTGAATCTTTCGACCATGCCATCTGATTGAGGATGCAGTGGAGTTGTTCTTGTTTTTCTTATTCCGTATAAATCGCACATTTCTTTGAACACAGCGGATTCAAAATTTCTGCCCTGGTCCGAATGTAACTCCAATGGTACACCATAACGACATATCCAGTTGTTCACAAACACACCTACGACTGTTTTAGCTTCCTGGTTGGGGATGGCATACACCTCTGGCCATTTGCTGAAATAATCCATAACCACTAGAATATAACGGTTTCCGGCATCACTAACAGGAAAAGGGCCTGCTACATCCATTGCAATCCTCTCAAATGGCGCACCTGAGTTGTACTGCTGAAGTCGTCCACGACTTTTTCTTACTGGACCTTTGGCTGCTATGCATTGTGGACAATTTGAAATCCAATCGGCTACCGATTGTTGACAACCGACCCAATAAAACCGTTGTTTTACCTTTTCTATGGTTTTCGTCACACCAAGATGTCCACCACTTGGACCGTCATGGAACTCTTTCAATACTTCATTTATTTTAGAGGCAGGTACCACAATTAGATTTGTCACCGTTTTTCCGTCTGCACTTTCCCATATTCGGTATAGGCAGCCATTTAACACTTGTAGACTATTCCATAGAGCCCAATAGGATTTCATTAATGGACTTTCTGCAGATATTTCATTGCGAGCTGGTCTTTTACCTTCTTCTTTAGCCGATATTATCTTTGCCAGTAAGGGGTCATCCCTTTGCGCTTCAGACCAATCTTCAGTGGAATCTATATGGGTTAGCCGAACATCGATGACGCTTTCTTTTACCTCAGCCTTGCTTTGATATCCGACATCAAGAGGTATTTCAACATTTCGCCAAATCATAACATTTGGTCCCAAATGTAATTTAATGCCATGCATAATCATGAAGTCTGCACCAATGATTACCTCATCCACGATATCGGCAACAATAAATAAATGATCTACGCTTATGTTGGCAATGTTTACTTTCGCATTTACTTTACCATAGACAGTGGCAGGCTCTCCAGTGGCGGTGCGTAATCTTACCCCGCATAGTGGTTCAATTGTTTTCTTAACTAAATCTGGTCTAATAATAGACTGCGACGCTCCTGTGTCTATAGTAAAAATGCGCTTCCGACCATTGATGTATCCACCAGCAGTTAGATTACTATTTTTCTGCTGCATTACTGATATGGAGATTGTGGGGCCGTCATATGTGGGAGTTAGCTCTTGCCCCTGTTGGTTGTTTCTTGGCGGTGAGACCGATCTGGTACGTTTTCTTTGTGCTTTGCAGTTTCGCTGAATATGTCCGGTTTTTCCACAGTTATAGCATTTGATTTTGGCTTTATTTTGTTTCTCATTTAAAGCCTCTAAAACTGCCTCTTTTATCTCAGTGACTATATTCCTTTCGTTTTCAGCGACAACTTCGACATTTCGTACCTTGAATATTTGTGGCTTTGAAATTATTTTAGCCGTTTCTTGTGCCAGCGCAAATGAGACAGTTTCAGCGAATGATGGCTTTGGTGTGGCACAAACCGCATGTTTTATCTCAGGATCACGTATGCCATTTACAAATGCCTCTATCTTGAAAATATCCAAAAACGGGTGATGTTCTCCTGGATAAGTAAGCTGTATCAATCGCTCGATTTCCAATGCAAAGTCTTGTAGTGTCTCATTGGCCTTCTGCACTCTGCCACGCAATTCCATTCGGTATAATTCCTTTTTATGTTCTCCACCGTACTTGCGTTGTAGTGCTTCCATTATGTCGTCATAATTATTTCTGTTGCTCACTGGTACGCTCTCAAGAACTACTGAAGCACCTCCTTTTAAGGCTAAGATCAATTCTATAGCTTTTTCTTCATTATTCCACATGTTTCTGATGGCAACTGTCTCAAACTGGAACTTGAACACATTAAAAGGTGTGGTGCCATCAAAACTAGGGGCTTTTATTCTACTCGAGGTTTCTGGAATGATTCGTACAGCTCCTTCTTGATATTGCAGATTATTCATCTTTGTTTCTAAGTCTGACACCTTTTTGTCAATGCCATCTACTCTGCTATTAATAACCTCAGACACTTCCAGAATTTTTTCTTCTGTGGCTCTTGAACTTTCCTGAAATTTTGCTTCCATTTCAGCTAAGTGTTTAAAAGTTTCCTTTACTTCAGCTTTAACCTCAGCTCGAAGTTTCTCGTTGTCAATAAGAAGTTTCTCGTAGTTAGCCTTAGAAGTTTCTTGAACTTCAACAAATTTCTCCATCATAGCGGCAAACATTGTGTTTAAGTCCATGTTGCTCGTTGTTGAGCGAGTACATATCTCAGTTTCTTCTTTGTACTCGAATTCGTATGTACCTATGTCAATGTCACGCCGCTTGAATTCATCTATTAGCCTCTTTTGCAATTCTGCCTTATTACCGGCTGTCGGTAACTCCATCTTACTCAATTCTCTCTTGAGTTGTTCCACTTTTAGTTCTTCGAACTTCATGACTGCTTTTTATTATGCAATTCCGCTTCTGACACCAATTGTTACGTTTTACCTTTTAAAACGTTCGTTTATTTCCTTTTGAAATAAACTGGATTCTTCTTATTGCAAATAAAAGCGTCAATTTGTTAAAAACTACAACAACTTTTTATTTACACAGTTTTATACACAAATACTTTTATAACACAACTTATATAGTAGACTGTAAGGCTGTCTTTTTATCTTTAACACACGAAAGCACACTTGACTTTATTAACTTTACTCAATGACGATTTATTACAGACTGACTCATTTGGTGATTGCCACCGCTATTTATACATGGGCATCACCTTCTTTATATTTCCAGTTTATTCTGGCTCCATCATCTAGATACTTCTACTGATGTAAGTCAATGTTTAGTGGAGACACACACCTCTTCAACGCTTAGTGATGCCACCCAAATGTTAGTCGCTAAGAAATGTCGGGAACTGGCCGTTAAAAACCGTTTAGTTTAAATGCAAATTCAATTTCGTAACAATATTTTAGTGAGCTTATTTAGTGATAATGAAGTAAATTTTTCGATAAAAGTATTTCAATTCCTATGCGACCAAGTCGAATATTCCGGAAAGTTAAAAACTGAATTAAATTGATTAGGATTAACTGGACCTGTCAGAATCCAGCCAAAAATCGTCTTTTGTGCTAATAACGACCCTAATAAGTTTCGTTGTATATCCGGTAAAACAATCCAAGGGTATAGATCAGCGCCAATAAGGATATCAATAGGTCGGCTATCAAAAGGATTAAAATCCGCCAAACGAAGATTTGGCAATAATTTTTGAATGTTGGCGTTGACGGAAGTCGTAGGCAAATTTGTCGATATTTCTGGTAAAACAAATGCATTTATATTTAGTTCTACGGAAGAATCGAAGTTAGATCCGATTTTCAAAGAACAAATATTTCTTGAAACTACTGATGCAGTATTATTGACACCAGAAATTTCAACATTCGTAGAACGCGAGGAAATGTTAAACCTTTTTCGTAATCGCTCAGTAATAAACGAGCATTCCGAACCCGGATCAATCAAAGCACGGACCTGATACTTATTGTTATTATGTTTTATATTAACAGTCGCTGTCCCTAAGAGTACGAACTGATTATATCTAGTATGAAATACTTGACGGTTTGACGTAATATTATTCGACGTTGTCGATGGTTGATTATTTTGAGGCGAATTAGTGGTTCGTAGAACCGCACCAGAATTCTGTTCAGTAGAAACAGAAGGCATTTCTGTATGCTGAATATGAAGCATAGAATGGTGCCGATTATTGCAAATAAAACAATTACTATTAACTTTACAATTGCTGACATTATGTGTCCTCGAAAGGCAATTAGAACAGCAATTATATTTGTTTACGGTAGAAATTCTTTCCATTATTGAAAGATTTTTAAACTTTCGACAATTTCGCAAAAAATGGGACTGGTTTGGACACAATATACACGATGGTTTTGAGGAAGTAGCATCGTAAGAATGTACTGAAGATTCCACATCAGTAGAGTTGGTCTCTTTAAGGTCGTGAAGACATTGCAATGTTTGAATTCTTTCCGTCAGAAAGTTATCAAAATCATGCCAAGTAGACAACACAGATTTGTCCTTAACGCCCTGTTCCCATAAAATCACAGTTGACCTAGGCAGACGCTGAATACATATGAAAATAATAATTGGGTCCCAATTCTCAGTAGGAATTTTATAAATAGAAAGAGCCGTAAGGCAACTATTAATTCCTCGTTGTAAAGTTTTAAGGGCTGTTATTGATTCCTTGTCAAAGGAAGGAAGACCAAATAAAAGTTTGAGTTGGTTATGTACCAACATACGAGTATTTTCATATGTTTCTTTCAAATCGCGCCAGGCTAAGTCAAAACTTTCATTAATTAATGGATATTTTGTCACAATATCTTTAGCTTCACCCTCGGTTTTACGTATTAAATGGCAAAGACGTTCTATATTACTAAGCCGCGAGCTATTTATATAAATTGCCGTGAATAAATCTCGAAAAGTAGGCCAAGAAACATAATCCCCACCGAATGTGTCGACATCACAAGGGGGTAGAGTCAGATTGTGTTCTGAATTGCCACAATTTAAATTTACCGCTGAAGAGTTACTATTCTTCGAATCACGTTTAAATTTGTCCATTTTCTGATTAATAGAGCCTAAACATTGAAAATAAGCCATATATGTGGTCTGATACTTCGAAGCAGCCACGTCTACATCACTAGATTTACTGGAGGCAGAAGTTTCGAAAAACTTTAGACAAGCTGTATAAGATGTCCTAACTTCCTCCCACAATCGTCTTATTTCCTCGCCCTGAATCTCTAATGTATAAACGTTATGAATTTCCTCACCTAAATCATTAAACATTGCGCCGAAAGTGACAAGAGCATCCGATGCTCTAATAAATTCGTTTAGTGGCGTAACAGACATGTTTAATATTAAAAAAAATTAATAAAATGTAAGGAAATTAAAAATCAGAACTAATTCACGACAAAAAATATTATAATTAGTTTTAAATGTCAAGCAACAAACGTGACAATGGCTAAACTGACCGACCGTAGGGTGACCAATATAATGGAAGAACAAGAATTAACCGTATATGTATTTTGTTTTTATATTTTACAGATGTAAATCTGTAAACAAATGAAGCACAAAAGAAAATATAAAAACACTAATTTATTGAAAATAAAAAAATAACTTTAATTTATTGTCAGTCGGAGCAAAAAAAAATTAAAATTTCCAAAAAAATTAATTAAGGGATAGATTGCACTGTATTAAATATTAAAAGTAAAAATGACGAAAAAATACAAAAAGAACTTTGTGTATGTGTGCGCGTTAAAACAACCGAGTTTTTTATCACTTCACTTTTGCTCACAAAATATATTTACGTACCTTAATTATTTCGTAGAAATAAATAATAAATATATTGCCAGTGGACTGTATTATTGAGGATGATGGACTTCAAAAGATGCCAATAAAATCCAGTACTCAATTCAGGAATCCGGTTCGAAGGACCAAATGTTTGGCATCAATCCAATTTGTCCAAGATTTTGTATGAAAAAAAAAAACAAAATAAAGTTTTCAAGTTTTGTGAGACGTAGATCTCCTTTTTATTAAAAACCAAAAGATTACCTCGTAGAAGGTTTGCAGGTTTTTATATAAAAGATAAAGTGCACGTAGTGCTTGTCGTAGACAACATCAATATCTTAAGACTGTGTAAAACGAACTTAATTTGGTGGCAAACAATATTTAAGTACCGTTAACGGTTTACTCGTTAGAATCTTCCAGCAAAGATCTATAAAATTGGCATTAGATTCTAACGTTGTTAAAAATAGTATTATTCATTAAAAGGAGCAATTACCAAAATGCAGCTCGCAACAAAACTCGCTTAAACACCTGGTGTTAGCCTTTTGTTTACTTATTTTGGTGACCTCGAAAAATTCACATGTTTTGTTTACAAAATTTCAAGGTCATCATCATATTTTCTCTTACCTCTTCCTTGAAAGCCAACATAAAGCTCGTTTCCACTTGATTCCCTACGTTTGTCACTCCACAGGCTTTGCGACAAAAGCAGGCTTTGTGACGGTCTCTTACATCTATTTAATTGTTATTTTTTTTATTTTCACATTTTTTTTAGCTTTTTTATTTTATAAAAAGTTCTCTTCGTAGTCGATGTTGAAAATTTAATTGTTTTTGTTTTGAATATTGATATTCGCTATTATAAAAGCAAATTAAAAATAGTTTATAGCCCTACGACACCAGATGGCAGTTGTGTCCTGGGTTAAGTAAGTTTAAATCACAATAACCCTACAGTACAAGGTGAAATATGATGACTACTTATGATGACCTTATAATGATATTGGCATACCAATGTAAAACAACAAAATACTGGCATACCAATCTGAAACAACAATACAACACAACTTCAAAGATCGTATGAGTAGCCATGACGATAAAACATCGTATGATGACTTTGACTATTACTGTAGAAAAGCATATAGATCAAAGACAATTAGAGCTCCTGAAGGTGAAGTTGCGAAAAGTGACATAGTGCTAAAGTTTTATATCAGATCTCAAAATAAGATAACAAAATATCGAGTGAACATTAAATTAGAAAGGAAATAAGTTAAATCAAACTGAAAACCAAAAGGAAAGGAAACATTTTGTTGAAAATAAAAATTATTATTGTAGAATTATCTTTAGAAAAAAAAATATATATATAGAAAAAAACAATAAAATTTTATATAAAATCTGGTTTACATTTGATCTAAAGACTATACGTAAGATCAAAGAGTTTAAAGTTGATTTGTATAAAATTAAGTTTTTTTTATTTTTTTTATAAATTCTCTACGATTTTTGTGAATATTGTATTTAGAATTGATCCCCACTATATGGGATTAGAAGTCAAATGCAATAATCGATAAACGTTTTGGAAATTTAAGGAAAGTCAAAATTACAATATAGATGCTTTTTCTTGTTAATAGATAAAAAAAACCAGGAGGAAACAGAAATTTACGCCATCTGTTGAAAAAAAATTGAAACTTTGACATACTAGCGAAGCCACACACGCAGAATTAAAATTATACAGTAAAAGGACATCAAAACCGTAATGGATGAAAAGTCAGGTTTGGGTAAGCCGCTGTATACCATAATATAGGTTAAGATCAAAGAATTGTCTCGACATTTGAACAAATCACTATAAACCATTACAAACGTACAATATCCGTAACTGCGCCTTAGATCTCACATGTGGTATCATGTCTAATGTCTCATTGTCTTTGATTAGTTATTCTGTCCTTACGAGATTTTTTTTTATAATAACCTTTGCATACCAAAAAAAATAAGGAGAATATTAACACTGTGAAGTCAAAAATCAAAGGGAAGCTAAAAAAAACAAAAAAAAAAAATTAATATTATCCTATTTTCGTTTTTTTTAAATCCGCAAATCTAAAAACAAATTACTTATATATACATTTTAATAAAAAAAAATATATATATATATTTTTTGTAACTCATATTGCATGCAAGTAGTTAAATTTTCTAATAAATTAAAAATAGAATAAATTAAAAATAAAATTAGTAACTAAAGATTTCATTAAGATACTTATTGAACTAAATATAAAAAAAAAGGTTTCATTGTTACTAACTAAAAAAAAATAAGTTAATGATTATTTCTATTAACGTAATTGAATTTTTTTAGTGTTACTCATTTTGTTCATCTAGTTCAATAACTATCTTATTGACACTAAATGGACACAAAAATATATGAATTAAACATCTACCATATAAATTACTAAACAAATCTATAAATCTATAAGTAAATAATTAGTTAACTAAATAATTATATAAATTAATCAGGAGACAATCAAAATACGATTAGGTATTGTTAATAAATTATATGAAAATAAAATAACTAAAGTACGAACACCTACTAGAGATAATTGAAACTAAATCGAGGATAAACTGCTATGTTAATTGATCAATTAATCTATAGTCGTTTATGCATAAAAATAATAATAAGTAATCAAATATAAAAAGATTGTTATCCAAATAATTTATTATATTAATTTCATAAAGTTTGGCTTATTTTTCGAATTACTATCCTTTTTAATGAAATATGAGTTTAACTACTATTAATTATTCGTCAAAATTTACTTTTTATTTCATAGTTATAATTTTTTTGTTACGTTTAAAAGTTATGTTAAAAATCATTCTATTAAAAGAACAATAAAATTATGTATATGTTTATGATTGAAATTTGAAATTCTAATCTTTATGAATATGGAGAACTAAAAGGAAAACTGCAGGTAATGATGTGAATCTGAAAGGTTTTGGTAAGCGAAGTAAAGGGACTCCTAGAACATGTTTGGAAGGTGACCAGGAGTCAAGGATGACTTAAACTAAGTCACGAATAGGGGAGGGCAACCTACGAAGACAATTCTAACTGTGTCTTCACGTGAATTCTAACCTTCATCCACACATTTCATATCTACTGTCGCAAGTCCGTCTGTCATAATTGGTCTACTACAGTGTTTCGTCAATTGTTTTATGTATGTATGCTCCCGGCACGAAATCTCTTTAAATGTTGACAAATCTAGTGAAAAGAACTACCCCTATCCGACGAGCTTAATCCGTACATCGACCAGCGTGCCAACCACCACTACAGCGATTTGTCACAAGCATCTAGGTGATTTTCCGAAGATGCTCTTTTATGGAAGAAAACATTTTATATATAGAGCGGGTTTTTTAGAGCGGGTTTTTGAGATGGTAATCAAATGCCAATTAATAATCAGATTAGTTAATCTAAAAATAAATTTAATCTTATGTTAATCCCCTTTGATGTTTTTCAGTACAAGATTAAACTTCGCAGTGTTGCCATACAAAACAACAGAAAACTTCACTGTTTGTTATCACAACAATGCATATTTTATAAAAAAAGAAGAAGACAATTGTAAATTTAATATGAAAATGAATGAAAACTTAAATTAAAAACAAAAAAATGTATTTTGAAGTGTCCATAATTTATACTAATCAATAAATAGAACATTTTAATGTTTATATTTATAAAAATTTTATTAATTTTTTTGCATCAGCTGTTTACACTTTTGCATTTCGTGCTTAAGATTAAACCACCTCCATTGGGCGCTTAAACTTGCAAACAAAATTAACTAATTGAGTACTCAAAAACATCTTTCGAGGATTAATTTTAATTTAATCGCTAATCTTTCACCTAAAGATTGGCCCTAAATAATGTCAGTAATTAAATTAATCATCCTACACAAATATGTATGCTCATTTCATAGAGCAAAAATACCATATTTTTTATGAAATATAAATCAAACCTTAGTAATTTTTTACAGCTTCTATTATTTATTTACACTTTTATATAAAAAAATTCCGACTACTAGCTTTTGCCGACATTAGGTACATTTACCGTATCATGGAATATGATAAAGTTTTTTGGTATCAAACATACATACAATACTTTGCGTCCAACTTCGACTGTCAACTTAAAAAAAGTGATGTCTTATGAAAAACTAATTAAATATATTTTTATAAAATGCAAAAATATATTTAATTTAAAAGTAGTGTGTGAAAATTCAAATCACAACAAAAAAGACAAACAATAACTTTGACTTTTTTGTTTTTATTTTCTCTTTCTCCTCTACTAAGTTTAATTGTTGCATCAATAGTAGCTTATTAAAATAAAATTAATCAGTGTCCATAAATTAGGCACAAATGATATTTTTTTTAAATATTATAATATTAATAATATCCTATAAGATTAAGTCCATTATTGACCATTCTTTCTATCAATTAAAATAGTTTTTAATAATAACAAGTGAGAGTGTTATATTCGGCTGTGCCGAATCTCATATATCCCCCATCAAACCTTTAAATGAATCCTCTCCTATAAACATCAGGATGATATTACTCATCAAATTAACTGAAGAGGACCTTATATGAAAGATAGGGTTAATTATTGACTGTTTATTTTATTAGACCAATATTGGTTCATATAAAACAACTTTACATCGAATATCAAATCCCGACACTTTCCGCATGAAATACAATAGGAATATTTACGTTCCTATAAATGTTTCTTATATACAACTTCATAACTGTTCACGTATTTTTAAGTCACCAATGATCGTTAAAGTAATTTTCTTATGGACCGATCCTCAATATATTTGGTATAGAGATTTTAACTCGTATAAAACACATATGTGTCAGATTTCATCGCTTTCCTAGTATTTTTAAGCCAGTAATACTACTACTACTCGTACTTTTAAGGCATCTTATAGGGGGTAAGGTCAATTATGGACCGACCACATAAAATTTGGTTCGCAAGGAACTTACTTGGGTCGAATTTCATCGCTTTACTCACATTTTGAAGCTATCAATACCAAACAAACCTTACCTATAGAGAGTATTTGTGGAAAATTTCCTCTACCTCGTTCCGTTCGGACTCTACCGTGCTTTCAACAGTCAGATGGACAGACATGGCTTGATCGTCTTATAATTTAATAAGGACCCAGAATATATATACTTTTGTGGGTCTATGACCAATATTTCGATGTGTTACAAACGGAATGACATAATCAATATACTTCCAACTTCTTTGATGGTGCGTATAAAAAATAACATTTGCTGCTAGAAAATTTTTATTGACGAGGAAAAAAAAATATTTCTCAAATATAAGTGTTTCAAAACAATAGAAAAAATATAAATTGAACAATAGTAGTTACGAACAACATTTATTTTTTTATGTTGCCTAAAACAGTTATTGTGTAACTTTTAATTATATTTCTTAAAAAAGGGCAATTTTTATACCCTACACCACTATAGTGGGAAGGGTATTATGCGTTTGTGCTGATGTTTGTAGCGCATTAAAATATTAGTACTATACCCACCTTAAAGTATACCGATCGACTCAGAATCACTTTCTGAGCCTATTTAACGATGTCCGTGTGTCCGGTAAACGTTATTATCAAAGTACAGGTTGCAATTTTCAAGATAATTTGATGAAATTTGGAATACACGATTGTTTTGATCCAAGGACGATGCCTATTGAAAATGGTTGAAATCGGTCCATTATTTCACCTAGGCCCCATACAACTGAACCCTCCGAAAAGGGCTTTTGAGCTCATACCCAGCAAAAAATAATTGATGTCATACTTTACAAACGACATCTTAATCACATCTAAAAATGCGATTGCATACTTTTCGCTTTTATAAACCAAACATATACTTACATATTAAAACACAGTTAAAAATGA